ATCTGTGTGTGTGTGTGTGTGGGTGTGATTATCTATTGAATAATTTGAATCACAGAATTAGTGTGTGCACTGCGTGAAAATGCGGATATATATACTTAAATGTGTCATGTATCTGTAGTTGTGGCGGTTAGGAGGGATATTCGATGGATGTTTTGGCGGCAATTTGACATTAAGATTTTATTTATATTGTTTGAAAATTGTTATTCAAATAAATATATATTCATTTAAAATTTGTAAAAAAATATGTGAGTGTATTAACAGTATTTTTTTGTTGTAAAATGTATAATAATGATTTATGTATGAAATTTATTAAAAAAAGTAAATTGAATAAAATATCCCACATTAACCAACATTAGTTAGTTGGAATATGTATTTTATAAATATGAACAAAATATCCATTTTATATACAATTTGGATTTCATAAATATGTATTTACTATAACTGCATAAATATATAAATATATATATATAGGTAATTTTAGCCATTAATTAAGTGGACATAACTTCAAGTAAACATGCATACTTTGAAATTAAAGCACTATAGTTTGAAAATCATAAATTTAAATATCACATTTCATAATATTAATGTGCATATTAGGTTAAAAATATGATATGCTAAAATATGATAGTTTATATGATATATTTAATTAAGCATTTATTCATACTAATCACAATTAATTAATGTATATAATTTCCACCAACATTAACCTACCCCCAAAAGAAGGGAGCCATTTTTATTTTTTATATATATACTTTTCAGTATATGTCGTGTCATGAGTACTGATAACCCAACATCATTATCATTAGAAGATATCACTATAGCAATATTAAATAAACCCATGATTATGACTCCAACATACAACACAAAAATGGGCCAATCATGTTTTTATTTATGTTGATTATGGCATATAAAATTACGGCAGATATTATAGTCTCGTTACGGAACTATTCCGTCGGGATTTGTAATCGTTAGATCAACTATCTCTGACGGCTACATAATGATCTAACAGTTACAAATCACGACGGAATGATTCCGAGACTGTAGCATATCCCTAAAATTACAATACATTTTCCATTTCATTTTATTTATAATATTGAAGGTTTGTTTAGTTATTGTAAAAGCCTATGATTCTCCCTGTAATTTTAAATAACTACATCTAAGAAGATAATACGACCAACAATCAGAAATGAAAATTTCAAAATGTGTTACATGGATTATTATCTGTAATATATAATATACCTAAAAGACAAATTATTGTTGCTAGATATATTAATCTTTATTTTTTTTTTACAACAAAACAGGCATACTTGTACTGAAATATCATATTTTATTGTTGTTATTCAAAGTATGACATTTCAGTTGTGTTATACATCTTAAAAGTCAGTGATGGTGCTTTAAGACGTGTCTAACGATTAGAAAAATCGTATTTTTTATAAATATGCATATTTTCAAACCAGAATGTCATATTCTAAAAAAAATATATATAAAAAAGCATAATATATCATTGCATAAGTATGCATTTTCGTTATTAAAAAAAGTATGATGCGTCGGCCAATATAATGATTAAGACTATGTTAGGCAGACGAATAAGCTAGTTTATAGTTTATTTGGTTAGCTTATAAGTTGCATATAAGTTTCGTTTGATATGGCGAACTTTTTCAAAACGCTCGAACTTATTTGATAAGTTTATTTGAGTAGTTTTTCAACTAAGCTCGTTGAAATTTTTATTTCAACAAATTTTACCAATGATTTTTATCATATAAGCTAGCTTTTCAGCTATAAACTATAAGCTCGAAAATTATCGATAAGCTATAAGCTAACTTATCAGCTAGTTTTACCAAACATAGCCTAATGCCTCATCATACAAGAATTTGTCGCGGAAAATTTATGATTGTTTAGCTATTAGATTTATATATTAATTGTTCTAATAAAAAAATATCAACATTTGTTTTCTATTTTATTAGTAGGTGGAAGAAAGAGGGCCAACGTGCCTTGCCAAAAGAAAGCAAAAGTTCTTGGTTCAATATATGTAATGAGTGTATGTTCTCCCACGCTTAGAAGAATAAATAATGTGGGCATGACATTAATCATTTTGATGAAAATTAGGCCCAAACTCTTTTTGCCCTTTTTGGCAAATTCACATCATTTTTTTAATGAGAGCCCATTGGATGAGGTCAAAACAAATCTAGGCCCGTGATTACTAATTATTTTATTCTTATTAGTTTTTTTTTTTTTTTNNTTTTTTTTTTTTTTTATTTTTTTTGCCTCCTAATAATGAAGAATTACCGCATGTGCAATGAGTACACATGATTATAAGTTTATAACGTTTAAAAGTACGGGCAAACATGGCATGACGTATGTATTTATTACACATGCACTGGGTATGTACTTGTAGTTCAAAATAAATCGTAAGGCAAGTAAACGAGCTGAACTCGAGTCATTCTCGAACTTTAATAGGTCAAATCATTCAAAAATATATAAAAATTCTCTTTTCGAGTCGTGCCGAGCCGAGCAATGCTCGTCTCATGAAAAAATACAAGTTTTAAACTAGATCGTGCTCGAGCTCAACTTGTTTGCTTGTTTTATTTAATAGCTGTAAATGTATACCACAAGTCTTAGGGCCATAGTGTTGACTTGACTTTCACCCACTGCACACTCAGAATAATCAAACTAAATCAAACACAAAAATTAATGTAGTTTGTCCAACTTCTTTGTAGAAAAACGACATCGAAGGAGCACTGCTCCTATAGTCAACACAGCTATTAATCACTAATTGAAATTGGTGGGTTGGGCTTTTTCCTGTCCGCAACAAGTTGATGGGTCCTCAAGTAAACAGCCCAATTTTACCAGCAATTGGGCCCACCATACATTTATTAATATCAGCAAAGCCCATGTACTTTAGATCGTTGGGCCCATCTATTGACGCCACAAATTTGATCTCAGTATGAGAGCTCTGTGCGTGCCCTGCGTGGCAAGCATTTTGAGGGCGATGACAAAAATTTCTACGCCACTTGCCTCGCAAACATCAGAAATACACATCAGTCGGCAACATCTTGTGAACTTTGAATTGCAATTTTGAAGTGGGCTCTTTGTCCATGGAGTTTCTGTTCATCAATGGCGACGCCTAAAGGGGGTCAAAGGTTCTGCAAGATAAATCTGTTTGTTTCATCGTCTCGCGCTCTTTCTGTTGATTTTTAGTTGCTTTTATGGATTATTGATATTGAAAAGTTTGATTGGTCTGTTTCCGTAATTTCTTCTAAGACTGAAATTTGATGGAACTTACCCTTTGTGTGTGTGTGTGTGTGTGTGTGTGTGATTGACTGTTTGCAAGTTTGCTTGATTTGAACCTCTGAAGCTTCGAAATTGCTTATAACTCCATATAACATTCACTGATATGACTGGAGATTAGCTGCAGAAACTGAAGACAGCAGGAACTGAGCAAATCTCTGTTGCAATGGGGCAATACAATGGCTCCTCCGAATACATAGGTATCAACGAAGTACCTTCGCCCCGAGCAGCTCAGGGCAGGAAAGTATCCGTTCTACCCCTCGTTTTCCTCATATTCTACGAGGTTTCGGGTGGCCCGTTTGGCATCGAGGACAGCGTGAAAGCTGCTGGCCCTCTTCTTGCCCTTGCCGGCTTTCTCATATTCCCGTTCATATGGAGCGTGCCCGAAGCCTTGATAACTGCCGAGATGGGCACGATGTTCCCCGAAAATGGTGGCTATGTTGTTTGGGTTTCTTCCGGGCTCGGCCCGTTTTGGGGTTTCCAGCAAGGATGGATGAAATGGCTTAGTGGGGTGATCGACAATGCTCTCTACCCCGTTTTATTTCTCGATTATTTGAAATCGGGTATCCCTGCATTAGGCGATGGCCTACCCCGAGTCTTATCTGTTGTGGCTATAACGATTGTCTTGACTTACATGAACTACAGAGGCTTAACCATTGTAGGATGGGTTGCTGTGCTTCTCGGTATTTTCTCGATTCTCCCGTTTATAGTCATGGGAGTCATCTCAATCCCAAAATTAAAGCCAGAGAGATGGTTAGTTGCCGATATACACAACGTGAACTGGAATTTATATTTAAACACTCTATTCTGGAATCTCAATTACTGGGACTCGATAAGCACGCTGGCCGGAGAGGTCCAAAACCCCAAGAAAACCCTCCCGAAAGCACTATTTTACGCTTTAGTCCTCGTAGTCTTGGGATATTTCTTCCCTTTATTAACCGGAACCGGCTCGATCCCCCTTGCTCGTGAAATGTGGACCGACGGCTATTTTTCCGACGTGGCCAAGATTCTCGGCGGTGTGTGGCTGAGGTGGTGGATTCAAGCGGCGGCGGCCATGTCGAATATGGGCATGTTTGTGGCTGAAATGAGTAGCGACTCGTTTCAATTACTTGGCATGGCCGAGCGTGGCATGCTTCCCGACTTTTTCGCGAAGAGGTCTCGTCACGGGACCCCACTCATCGGTATCTTGTTTTCTGCTTCTGGGGTGCTTTTGCTCTCGTGGCTGAGCTTTCAGGAGATTGTGGCGGCCGAGAATTTCTTGTACTGTTTCGGGATGATATTGGAATTTATAGCTTTTGTGAGGCTTAGGATTATAAGCCCGGATGCTCCGCGGCCTTATAAGATACCCGTGGGCACGTTTGGTGCGATTCTGATGTGCGTGCCTCCGAGTGTGCTGATTGGGGTAGTTTTGGCGTTTTCGTCGCTTAAGGTTATGATTGTGAGTCTTGTTGCGGTTTTGCTTGGGCTTGTATTGCATCCTTGTTTGAAGCACAGCGAGAAGAAGAATTGGCTTAGGTTCTCGATTAGTGATGACCTTCCGGAAATTCGGACTTCTTCTATTAATCGTGAGGATGATGAGTCGATGATTGAATGATGTAAAAAGTAAAACTACATGTCTAAGCAGGTAAAACTTTATTTATGCTTTGGGGCTCATTCAGTGACTGTAGATTTCAAATTTTCGACGGATGCATATTATCAGCCATCAGTATGTGGAAAGGGAAATAGTTTGTGCCTGTGGATCTATTTCTTTACATAGCTTTTGTATACTTTCTAAATAACAGTTGCAGACCGATCTTTTTTGTGTTGCTGATTGTGTTCTGAATTGGAAACTGGAGATGTTCTATTTGTGAGGTAAGAAAGTCGAAAAACATCGGTTTTCTGAAAGAAACTGCTGTTTTCAGCGTTGATGATGACAAATGATAGGGCTTTGGTTGCAGATTAGCTTTGATATCTTTTGTTGTTTGTGTTTGATGCATTGGTGCATTGTGTTTGTGTTGCTCCTCAACTTGTTTATATTCCTTGTTTTGGTGTTTCTGTAATGCACACTTGAATATGAGGCTTTTAGACAAAATTCTTAATGTAATGATGCATATCAATGTTGTGGTCTCATTACAGAACCATCTCGTCGTGATTTGTAACCGTTAAATCATCATGTAACCGTCAGAAATAATTATCTAACGACGACAAGCCTTACGGAATAGTTATGTAACGGGACTTGTGTTGCAAAAGGTACACTGTATATTTGACTCTCTTGATGATGGACGAGATTGCGTCTTAATCTATCGTTTTGCATCGTTAGGTTTAATTAATTATTTTCTTTATTTTATTATTATATACATATTAGATTTGTCAGATAATTTTTAATTATTTATCCTATTCATTTTCTTTTGAGGCAAGTTATTTATTTAGAATTTTTAAAAGTTCTGTTTAAAATTCTTTTCAATAGTTTCTCTTTAAATTTCGCATAAAAGTCATAGTATCCTCTTCGCCATTTATATATTAATATTAATTAATATAATATTAAAAATTCAAGGTATATAAAAAACAATATTAATTCAAATTATAATTTATGTAATAATTTAAAAATCAAAATAAATAATGCAATTTATTTACTTAAAAAAATCACTTTTACCCAACTATTCGTATTCCATCACGTTAACTAATTTCTACTTAATCAATATTAATTAAATATTTTAGAACTTAATACAATAAATATTAAAACATGACGGAAAATTTCTTTATAATTTATGTAATTTGAATTTAAAATTCAAAATAAATAATCCAATTTATTTATTTAAAAAAATCACTTTTACCCAACTATTCGTATTCCATCACACTAACTAATTTCTATTTAATCAATAGTATAAATAAATTAAATATTTTAGAATTTAATACAAAAAATATTAAAATATGACGGCCAATTTCTTCTATGTAGAGATGAGTAGGCTCTTTCCTCTTGTTCCCTTTACCTCTGGTGCGCGAGTCGAGGGGACGGCCGGCGTGACGAGCCTAGTTCCGTAGTGTGGGTTGGGC